CGCTCTCGACCGCATGCTTTGTTGTCCCCCCGCATCGACAGCCTTGGTCACACGGATATCTGCACGTCAAGCCGAGCTGTCTTCATAACCCCAGCTCGTGAATGATTGGCTTGACGACGGACGATGGGATGCGCGCGGGGTGCGGCTACAAGGCGGCATGCATCGGCCGCCGGCGTCGGCTTCGGCCCAGCAGGGTTTGACGGCCAGATCGACGCGAATTCGTATCGGGACACGCACGCTGGCGTACAGATCGGCAGGAAACGCCGATCCGAGCCGGGCCAAGCGGTCGCGGTCTCGGCCATGACGCTCGTCGCTCCTCGGTGCGTCGTTCGTACGATCATTGTGGCTGTCTTGGTCCCCACAGGCAGATACGATGCATGTGCATCGTCACTGTAATCTTCCCCGCATGATGTGCAACCTTGTTATCCAGCTTCTACCCCGCGGGGTAACCAGCATGATCATACCGCAGCGTAAAGCCTATAGCCAGAAATCCATGGTGAGCGCCAATCTGAATCGAATCGGGTCCACTTCACAGATCTTCCTCCGGGCCCCCTCTCTCCCTCTGTCCCAAATCGAAGGTCTGTAGCGAGCAGAGGCTCATTGTGCCGGTCGCGCTGCTAGGAGGGGCGGTGGACGTGATTGGCGGAATCGGAAGCCATGCCGAATGCAAGGTCAGGCCCTGAGAGTGGGTTGCGATTGATTTTTTTTTCAGCCTCCGCCTGTCCAAATTCGAGCGAGCCTTCTTGGCAACCCGTCGAAAGGGCGAAAAGTTTCCGAGCCTTGCCGCTCAAGTTGCCGCACACGCGCCGCTCGACCGACGGAATTGCAGATCGCTCCCACCAAGGCTGCCTCGACACCCACATTATACTATTACATTCAAGCTCATACACTCGAGGAGATGGATATCGAACTAGAATTCGATGAGGACCTAGTTTTCTGGACTCAGTCAAGGGGTGTAGTCGGTCGGTCTTTGACTGCTCAGCATGGCTGAGGTGATGGCCAATGGGCAAGCAGAGTCGGGCCGTGGGCCAAAAAAAGTCGACCAATCGCATCGACGTCAGCGCCTGAAGCGACGCGCCATGCATGAACAAAGACCTCCCTCAACCCACCGTTGTTTTTAAATAAATTGAATTTCGTCAGCATGCTCCGACGAACTTTGAGCTGCATCCCTCCGCCCACCTCCTTTCTCTCCAGCGCCAGCACTGGCCTCGACGAAGGCAGACGGACGAATGTGCCCGGACAAAGGTACCCGGACATACCGAAATGAGTAGTCCAAAGCCTATGTGGGTTTAGGGCGGGGTGGGGGAGTCAGGGCCAGGTCCAAGTTCGACAAAGCGTGGGTCGAATCGAGCGGCAAGGCGGCGCCGATCCGGGCTGCGTTGCCGACGAGGCTTGCCGTCGGAGGATTGTCGCTGACGGGAGGGCAGGTGACGTTGCAGATGTGCGAAATTTAGGCAGCCGAGGCTCAATCCGTTTGCGTCTCTGGCCTGCAGCTGCGCCAAAATTTCCCGAAAAAAAGAAGAAAGGCGGCCAGGCGCAGCGCATGCGCTTGACGTATGCACCGCAACGCGACCTCAGCAGCCTCAAAGCCGACCCTAGGCTCCGTCCTCGGCAGAGAACTCAAACCAGAGCGTGGTGGAGTCATCGTAAGGCCAGGCTGGTCATTGTTCTGAACGAGCGGGCGCTCGAGAGGCGCAGAACAAGCGTCAAAATCCACACGAGGCATGAGGCAGCGCTTTGGGCGGGGTCATGTGAGCCCACCTTTGCAAGCGGGCATGGCGAAGCAGAACCGCTAGAAGACCCGACGCTGCGCACCCACGCATGCAGATGCAAAAGGCTTGGCCCAGAAGCCAAGGGGTCTGGCGCGAGCATACTGTGGTGCATCTGATAGCCTGGTGGCCGAGCAAAGAGACCCTGGGTGCGCGCCATGCTCGCTCAGTCCACCGCGGGCTCCGCCACGGCCCGCGCACACCGCGACAAGACGGGCGCCGAGTGGCGAAGGGTGACTTTGGTGGGGGTTGTGGTGCGCAGAAGATCTTTTGCGCAAGCAAGCTCCTGCATCGGAGCCTCCGTTGACCCTAGCAATACCAGCCAGTCTTGTTCCCACGCTTCTCCCCATGCCATCACGGACAAAATCATCTTCGGTGTGCCTTGAGTTGCTTTCCTTTCCTTTCCTTTACCCACCATCCGTCCCGCTCGTTCCCCTCACCACGCGTCCCTATTAAGGTTGGCTCCTCTATATCTGCGACTCCAGATCACGCCATCGCTGCGCATCATCAAGCTCAAATCCGCCTCTTCGATTCGGCTTGCTCCTTCTCTCGACCGGCATCGGCTCATCCGTCGCTGCTTCGACACACCGGCAAGCTGGATTCATCTAGCTTAAGGTTTCGACTTCGCTGCCCTTCCTCGATTGTTCATCACAACATTCGCAACTGGCGCCCGTTCTTCGCNCACCGGCAAGCTGGATTCATCTAGCTTAAGGTTTCGACTTCGCTGCCCTTCCTCGATTGTTCATCACAACATTCGCAACTGGCGCCCGTTCTTCGCATCACCAAGCTGGAATCCGAACATCGCAAACGCAACGCGTCGCAACGCACAGCAACCACCACTTCACATCTCTGCATCGTGTCTATTTAATCGGGCCAACCGCGCAGCCACCCCGTCAAAATGGCGTCCTCAAACCTCGAAACCCCGGCTGGTCTGAGCAACGACAGCATCACCACCACCAGCGCCGTCGCACGCGACACCAACCGAAGCACCTCGCCCTCTCCCGAACGCAAGTCCGAGACGTCGTCGCGGCCCGTCGGCTCGTCGTTCCTCTTCCCCTCGGGCGAGCGCGCAAAGTCGTGGCAGGACAGCTACCTCTTCGAGCTGCTCGGCGAGCGTGGCGCACAGATGTACGAGACCTCGGAAAAGGGCCAGAATGTGCAGGTGAGCGACATTGAGGAGGTGACCAAGGTGCAGCAGGCGCAGCAGAACGCACACGACCACGGCGCCATCCCCAAGACGCTCGGCTGGAAAGGCGCCTTCTTCAACCAGGTCGCCTACGCCATCGCGCTCGGCATCCTCAGCATCCCGCTCGTCGCCGTCTCGCTCGGGGTGGTGCCGTTCGTGCTGCTCACCTTCCTCTTCGCCTACATCTGCTGGTACACCGGCGACCAGTACTGGAAGCTCAAGATGCGCTTCCCCGGCGTCCAGAACCTGCAGGACGCCGGCTTCCTCATGTTCGGGCCCTGGGGCGCGCGCTTCCTCGGCGCCGCGCAGTTCATCTTCTCGGTCTTCCTGCAGGGCAACCACGTGCTGCTCGGCGCACAGGCGTTCCACGTGCTCGGCTGGCACTCGTGCGCCATCGCGCTCGCCGCCGTCTTTGCCGTCATCTCGTTCCTCTTCACGCTGCCGCGCTCGTACAAGCTCTTCTCCATCTCGGCCTTTGTCTCGTTCAGCTCCATCGTCGTCGTCGTCATCTTTGCCATGATCGCCAGCGGCGTGACGGGCCCGCAGAACGCTCCTGTGGGNCTCGTACAAGCTCTTCTCCATCTCGGCCTTTGTCTCGTTCAGCTCCATCGTCGTCGTCGTCATCTTTGCCATGATCGCCAGCGGCGTGACGGGCCCGCAGAACGCTCCTGTGGGTGCACCGCCCATCAAGGTGGTCGCATTCGGTCCGGCACCGGGCATCAAGGTCGACTTCCTCACCGGATTCCTCTACGTGCTCAACCTGTTCGTCAGCTTTGGTGCGATCCCGAGCTACCTGCCCATCATCTCGGAGATGCGCAAGCCGACCGACTTCCGCAAGAGTCTGTTTGTGCTCGTCGGCGTCCAGCTGGTGCTCTACCTCATCGTGGGCGGTGTGATCTACAACAACCTCGGCCAGTACACCACCTCGCCCAGTCTCAACAGCCTCTCGTACACCATGAGCCGCATCGCGTACGGCCTGGCGCTGCCCACCATCCTCATCGCCGGCTGCGAGAGCGGACAGGTGGCGAACAAGCATCTGTACATCATCGTCTTCCGCTCGCGCCCGCAGCACATCCACAACTCGACCAAGCTCGGCTGGATCGTGTGGACGCTCATCAACGCGCTCACCTGGGTGCTCGCCTTCATCCTCGCCGAGCTCATCCCGTTCTTCTCGTCGTTCCTCGGCCTCGAGGCGGCGCTCTTCTGGTCGCTCTTCACGGGCCTCAGCGCCGTCATGTGGCTCTACCTCAACCAGGGCCGCTGGGTCGAGTCGTGGCGCAAGATCGTCGGCCTCATCGTCGCCGTGCTCGTGATCGCCATCTCGGCCGTCATCTGCGTGGCGGGTGTCTGGGCGAGTGCCATCTCGATCCGCGACTCGTACAACACCGGCTCGGTCGGAAGCCCCTTCTCGTGCAACTCGGTCTCCTAAGCCGCGTCAGTCGTGGACAGCAAGCAGCAAGCAGCCCAAGGATCCTGACCTGCGCTGGCATTGCTCGGGTCATCTTTGCATGGAGGTCATCCGACGGGACGCGGGTGCGGTCGCCGTCGATTGCTTGTAACATTAGAGTCTCTTTTCCTCTCTCGAAATCATCATGTCAGCCTCGAATAGATGCATGCATATAGTCGATCCCGTGCGGCCAAGCGAGCGTGGTTGTGTGGAAATGGAGGGGATGCCGTGATGAAGCGAGGGCAAGACGAGGTCGAGTTGGAGGGGAAAACGTGAGCCGTGACAAAGGCCCGAGCGAGACGCGTCGGTTGGGCGCCGGGGTCGGGACGCCTCCACGCCGCACGCGTCGGTGTCACTTTCTGGTCGGCTGCGCAGCTCGACGGAATTTGCACAGCTCGAGGCTTGGTTCGAGCGGGACCATCACGTTGCCTTCCTGCCTCCATCCGCTCTTCATTCCCTGCATCCATTCGTATCGAGCAAGAGCCGAGCCCCCACATCGACGCTCATTAGAACGCGCTCGACAGCATACCACGACGCGGCGATTCCGACCATGGCGTCGCGATAGATCCGTATAGTGGAGTATCAACATCACGCAACTATGGCCAGCGTGGCCTCAAGCTCCAGAAGGACGCGCGCGTCCGTCGCCGCATCCACATCAGCTTCCGCGGCGGCAGCGGCCGAGCGCATTCAGTATGACCGCATGTCCAGAAGGCGCACCACCACCTCGCTTCAACCCGCAAATACCTACCGCATGCAGCTGGAATCTGCTTCCGAACTCGAAGATGATGGTGGCAGCAGCAGCAGCAGTCGCAACGACCCCCAGCCAGTGGTGTACATCCCGGAGCGCCTCGATGAAGAGGACGAGGACGATGCCATGGACGAGGCGCTCGTCCTCGAACAGGTCACCCCGCGACCCAACCGACGCGTCATGATCGACAATGCTCAGCTCGATACCACCCAGTCCGCGCTCGACCGCTTTCGCGCCACACAAAAGCGTGGCATTCGGCCCGAGAGGAAATCGATCGCCGCACCACCCTCGGCCGTCAGCTCGTCGTCGCGCTCACAGGCTTTCAGGCCCTCGAGGCAGAGCGCGCCGCTCGCACGCACTACGATCTCGGAGCGGTCCGACTCTCGCAGCATGTACACAGCGCGTAGCCGACGATCCGAGCTGTCCGGCACCACCAACAACCGCGCTTCGCGGCGTTCCGCAGTGCTGGACCTCAACGACACTTCGGCAGACGAACCGGCGGGCAACACAACCATGGCCAGACCCGGGCAGCGCCTTCGTCCGTCGCTGGCGCTTCCAGATGGGCGCCTCGACGTGCCGACCATCGAAGAGCGCTGTGCGGCCCTGGTCATCAACGCAAAAGGCGTGCTCCACTTCTACATGGACCTCTACACGCTCGGATGGCGGCCCGAGTCTTTCGACGACATGATGCGCAACTGGGCGCCGTTCGAGTCCTACAAGACCAACCAGCTACTCGCAGAGGCGCAGTACATGCACCACTTTATCGACATCGACGAGGTCAAGCGCTCGCTCAACGCGGCAGGCCAGCCGCTGCCGGACGGATTCGAGGAGGCCATGAAGATGGCCAACTGCGCCACGTTTGTGCACTACATCCACCAGCTGCCCACGCAAGCAGCCGAGTACGGCCGACGCTCCGGACAGCTCGTCACGAGCGCCGACGTGCTGCGTGCGCCGCTGCGCAACATCAGCGAGCTCAGCGACGCACGCCGCATCTTTCTGCGCTGGATTCTACCGTTCGACTGGGAGCTTACCGACGAGGTGCTCAACATGCTCCTCGACATGAGCATCCAGATCTTCATCCACCGGCTCGAGCGCATCGTCCGCGCCGCGAGGGCGGGCGAGATGTCCGAAGAAGAGGCACGCACCGCCGCGTCGGACCTTCTCATCGATCTCATGAGCGGCGACGTCGTCCGGCATTCGTTGCAGCGCGTCAAGCGTCAGCGCAACATTTCCCGCGCCGAGATCGAGCGCATGGTGCAGCGCTACGAGACCTTCGCCAACGTCCGTCAGATCGACCTCCAGGCGATGGGCTACGACTTTGAAGCCATGCGCGACAGCTTTTCGTTCGCAAGCATGTCGGCCGACCTCACTGGATACGTTCGCGACGTGGTGCGCGAAGTGGATGCGGGCATGCATTCCACCACGTTGCCCTTGATCATCGACCGGCTCGCGCGCGAATCGAGCGTTTTTTCCGAGTCGGACGTGCCTGAGATCGCGCCCAGCTCTAGCTCTCGATTCAACGATGCGTCCAGCGCGATCGCAGGCCCAACTCAGTCCACGCCCAAGGCGACAGCGCAGGGACCGCAAGCCTCGCAAGCCTTCGCATCGCAGTACGCCAACTGGCTCGACGACATGCTGCAAGACGACGAATCTCAGGCCACCACAAGGAACCGCAGCGCTCAGAACCAGGGTGAAGCCGACCTGACTGCGACGCAAAAGATGAACGAGCTTGACGCGATGCTGCAAGAGTCAGGCTCCGAGGTGGCCGCTGCGGCAGAAGCCAGCAGTGTGGATCTCGACGTTGCATCGAGCCCGCCGCGAACGAACCAGCTCGGAGCGCGGATGTCTGCAGCGCTGCACAGCTCGGGCCGCACACACGAGCGCGGATTGCTAGTGGAGGCTGTCGAGGTATCGGAGACGAGCGATGCGACCGGTGGCGGCGATCTGCGCCGCACGCGCGACGGACCCTTTGACTCGCCGGCCAAGGAGCGCGCCAGCCGCATCGGCTTCGACAAAAAGAATCGCCTTGTCCGCCAGGCGGGGCCCGCCGCGCGCAGGAGCGCACGCATGCTCGACGGCTCGGCCGCAGCCGTGCGCGAGTCGCGCTTCGACTCGCAGGGCGAAGAGGAGGAGGATGTCTTCCTCGAAAACGCCACGCGCAAGAAATCACGCGGCAAGAGGAAGGCCAAGGAGGTCACTGAGGATGGCCCGGCGAAAGCAACTCGCAGCGCAGCCAGCGTGGCGGAAGCTAGCGCGGCGAGTGCGACTCGGCGAAGCACACGGGCGGACATCCGCAAGAGTTATGTTACCGAGATTACGACGGAGGAAGAGAAGGGCGTAGAATCGGGAGAGCAGCAGCAGGAGGAACAGAATAAGGGGCAACAAGGGACCGAGGAGGACGAGGACAGCGCAGATAGCGACGTCAGCGACGACAGCGAGCCGCAGACGGCCCGACGCACCGGATCGCGCAGTGCGCCGCGCCAGCTGGAGCTCAAGCGCGAATCTGCCAGCCCGATCAAGACGCGGGCTCAGCTCATGGCATCCGTGCGGCAAGCCAACGACGCGGCCGGGCCGGCTGCCGCCGCAACCACAAGCACGCGAGCCGCGCGAGCCGCTGCACGGGCAGCCGCATCCGAGGGCGGCGCGACGGGGCTTGGCCGGGGTCTTCCGGATGACGCTGCGCGGTCAGATGCACGCATCCTGTCCACTGCATCCGGACGGCTGGTGGAGGAAGGCTCGGGCAGCGAGCCGGGCGATGCGACGCAGGAGCAGGAACGCGCAGAGGGCGTGGACGGCGAGCTCGGCGCGGTTCGAAGCACGCCCGATGCAAACTTTGTGGGCGACGACGACGGTGCGATTCTGGACCGGCGTGCGGCACTGGACGCTGCGCTAGCGGCGAGGAGACCGCGTCCGGGCACGCTGCAGTTCTACCACCCGGCGGCGGACGAGGATGCGGTGCCGCTGCCTCTGGACGATGCGCCGCCCGGTGGCGAGAATGTGGACGCGATTGCGATGCGCAACGCCGACTCGGTGGCGCAGATCCTGCACTCGAGCGACGCTGTTGTGCGACGCCGCATCGGACCGTATCGACCTGGCGGCACGCGCGACGAGCCGGTGGCTGAAGAAGACGACCCGATCCGCGGGTCGGATGACGAGGAGGTGGATGAGTTGGACGACGACGAGCCGCCGCGACGCACGCGGCCAGCGGGGCGGGGACGACGGGCGCGTTCGGGCACCCAGCGGACCGAGCCGGCTGGGCAAGCGGTGCGCGTGCAGCCATACAAGCGCAGCAACCTGTACGTGACCGGGCACAACATGACGGGCCGGGCGTACTGGACGGACAGCGAGGTGAGCTGCCTGCTCTCGAGCCTGCACGAGCTGGCGCGGTACAAGAAGGTGGCGCCCAAGTTCAAGGTGTATGCCGAGATCCTGCGGCGGCACGGCGTGCATGGGAGCGAGAGCACCACGCTGGCGCGCTGGAACAATGTGCAGCTCAAGGACAAGAGTCGCAACGAGCTGATGCGGATGCGCAGGGAAGGGCTTACTATTCCGTACTGGAAGAGGCTGTTGCATCCGAATATTTGGAAGCCTCCCGTGCATAGGGTCAGAGACGAGACCGAGGACGTGCCGGATGTTGACGCGCAGAATGTACCCCAGGAGGCGGGCGATGACCAGCCCAACCCGCTGACCAATGTCGATTAGTCCCCCAGCCTCACGCACGCCAATTCAGTCGCGTGCGAAGCCAAAGTGTCTTGGCGTCTGTGATGCGGTCGAAAGAGGTGTGAGTCAATCTCAGCCGTTCAACGAGAAACGTGCCTCGCTTCAGAGGCGATCTGGTGAGGCGATCAAGATTGCGACGCCAACACGAGCCCAGGTGTGACGGTGTGCATTTTGGGAGGTGATGTTATACAGGATGGGGGAGGGAGCGAGAGTGGTGGGTTGAGTAGGTGTGCGAAAGGTTGGCGGCTTCACTGACGTGCGCGGCGCTGGCGGGCCTTGAGCACGCGATCTCTGTTCCTCTTTGCCTCCTTGGCCTCTGCGTCCGCAGCGGCGCTCTTGGGCTCTGCATCGTACGCGGCCTTGTCATCCAGGATCTCCCTGAGCGCCTCGTTCCTGGCATTTGCGCTGCTTGGCGCCCTTTCGACCGTCTTGACCGTGGCAGGTTTGGAGTCCGTGAGCTGATCGCGTGCGGCACGCAGCTTACCCATGAACCCCGCCTTGTCCTCGGCGTATGGGTTCTTGGGATGTTGGATGCGCTTGGGGAACTTGGCCCACTGACGAACCACGGGCACCTGCAGCACCAGCAGCTGCACCACCGAAAACACATTCGTCGTCGCCCAGTACACCAGCACGCCCGCGGGGAAGGTGGTGGAAAAGTAGCCCAGCACGGGCATCATGCCCCTGAAGATGTACTTCATCATCTGCGTCTGGCCGGGATCCGCCTGGCCCGTCGTGCCGAAGCGGAAGCCAAGCTCGGCGACGGCAAACGTGGCGGCGGTCGATACGGCGGGTAGGATCCA